TCCATGTGCTCCATCACGGGAACCCTCTTGTCCACCTTAAAGACGCCCATTCGCCCATCTGGAAGCACGGCGTCTGCTTCCCACTGAGCAGACCCAGGCCGCCTCCCCATCGGGGTGCAGCCACGGGTTTCTTCCATCAGTGAACCAAGCAGGGACGGGGTGCCGCCATACTCTCACATCACACTCACACACTAAAATGCACTCTCATACTGACATACACTCACACACAGCCACACACTGACATACACTCACACACAGTCACACACTGACATGCACTCATCCAGTCACACACTGACATACACTCACACAGACATCACAGTCACACTGACATACACTCACACACAGTAACACACTGACATACACACTCACCCAGTCACACAATGACATACACTCACACCCAGTCACACACTGACATACACTCTCACACAGCCACACACTGACATACACTCACACACAGTCACACACTGACATACACACTCACCCAGTCACACACTGACATACACTCACACCCAGTCACACACTGACATACACTCTCACACAGCCACACACTGACATACACTCACACACAGTCACACACTGACATGCACTCACCCAGTCACACACTGACATACACTCACACAGTCACACACTGACATGCACTACCCAGTCACACACTGACATACACTCTCACACAGCCACACACTGACATACACTCACACACAGTCACACACTGACATGCACTCACCCAGTCACACAATGACATACAGTCACACACTGACATACACTCACACAGACATCACAGTCACACTGACATACACTCACACCCAGTCACACACTGACACACACTCACACCCAGTCACACACTGACATACACACTCACACAGTCACACACAGACATACACACTCACAGTCACACACTGACATACACTCACACCCAGTCACACACTGACATACACTCACACCCAGTCACACACTGACATACACTCACACCCAGTCACACACTGACGTACACTCACACCCAGTCACACACTGACATACACTCACACAGTCACACACTGACATACACTCTCACACAGTCACACACTGACATACACTCACACAGTCACACACTGACATACACTCACACAGCCACACACTGACATACACTCTCACACAGTCACACACTGACATACACTCACACCCAGTCACACACTGACATACACTCACACCCAGTCACACACTGACATACACTCACACACTAAAACATACTCTCACACTGACATATACTCACACCCAGTCACCACACTGACATACACTCACACCCAGTCACACATTGACATACACTCTCACAGACATCACAGTCACACTGACATACACTCACACAGCCACACACTGACATACACTCACACCCAGTCACACACTGACATACACTCTCACAGACATCACAGTCACACTGACATACACTCACACAGCCACACACTGACATACACTCACACCCAGTCACACACTGACATACACTCACACCCAGTCACACACTGATGTATACTCACACAGCCACACACTGACATACACTCACACCCAGTCACAAACTGACGTACACTCACACCCAGTCACACACTGACGTACACTCACACACTAAAACACACTCTCACACTGACATATACTCACACCCAGTCACACACTGACATACACTCACACCCAGTCACACACTGACATACACTCTCACAGACATCACAGTCACACTGACATACACTCACACCCAGTCACACATTGACATACACTCTCACAGACATCACAGTCACACTGACATACACTCACACAGCCACACACTGACATACACTCACACCCAGTCACACACTGACATACACTCACACCCAGTCACACACTGATGTACACTCACACAGCCACACACTGACATACACTCACACCCAGTCACACACTGACATACACTCACACCCAGTCACACACTGATGTACACTCACACACTAAAACACACTCTCACACTGACATACACTCACACCCAGTCACACACTGATGTACACTCACACACTAAAACACACTCTCACACTGACATACACTCACACAGTCACACACTGACATACACACACAGTCACACACTGACATACTCTCATAGACATCACAGTCACACTGACATACACTCACACAGTCACACACTGACATACACACACAGTCACACACTGACATACACTCACACAGACATCACAGTCACACTGATATCACACACACACCAGTCACACACTGACATATACTCACACATTCACACACTGACACACAATCATACACTGACATACACTCACGCTGACATCACACTCACACACACTGACACCTGACAGTCCCTGGCGGGCTGGGGAGAGCTGGTGGCCCGGGTACGTGTGGGCCTCCCAGCCTCGGGCCCCCACGGAGTGGACAGCAGATTTGTTTTTAGGTGACCTCACATGGAGGGACCCGCAGTTCTCCATCTTTGGCAGGGCCTCGGGCATGCACAGAGCGAGGACTGCGTTCCGGTCTGTTCCCAGCCTGCAGGCTGGCACTGAGAACCCTCGCAGGAAGTGTTTACCGTCAGTCCCAGCGGGAGCTGTTGTGAAAACACTCTGTGGCAAAGCACAATGGGCTTTGCAGTTGTTTATGAATCTGAGGCACTCGGCAGTGTGAAGCAGTTGTTTATTTCCGCTCCGTTTCCTCTTACGGGGAAACATTTGGTCTCCAGCAGATCACGTCCATTCTGCAGTCACTTGTCTGTGTTCCCCAGGCGTGCTTCGCCGTGGGGCAGTGTGCCCTCCAGAGCTGCCCTCGCTCTCATGGCCCCCTTTCTGCCTGCCCTTGTCTGCCCCAGGGTGAAGAGCCAGCCCCTCCCCACCCCCACCCCGCTGCTCCCTCCCTGCCCGTCCCTCCTGACTCACTCCTCACTCCTTCATAAGCCTGACTCCCAAGTCCCACCTTGCCATAGCTAGAGGGGCGCAGCAGCTCTGATGAGGCGCAAGCTCCCGGGGCGGCCCTCAGCCCCCTGGTACCCACACCGCCCGGTCACCAGGGACTTGTCTCACTCTCCTCCTTGACAGGTTTTCTTGAAAGCATCAAGGTCCCCCCTCCTCACCCTCCCTTCCTCCCCACCTTCATCCCTCCTTGACTCCATGTCTCCCTCCCTACCCGCCTCCACCCCTACCTCCCCGCCCCCATCTATCCCTCCCTGCCTCCAGCCCCACCCTCCCGGCCTCCATCCCTACCTCCCTGCCTCCCTCCATCCCTCCCTTGCCCTCTCATTTTCAGTGTTGGTCAGGGAGAGAAAGGAAATACGGAAATAAAAAAATATATATAAACGGCCCGAAGAGGAAGGAAATCTGGGAAACAGTGAATAACACCGGTGTTCTCTCTGTGATGGTCTGGGAGGTGTTAAGTGCCTTGCTGACCCTTTGATCCTGTGGCTTGTCTGTCATCCGTTATCTTTTCTCCTCTGAAAAGAGTGATGTTTATTGTCACAGGTGACAAAACACAGAGGAAAGGAACAGGGAGAGGTTTCGAGGATTCACTTTCAAGTGGGGTCATATTGGCTCTTTAGTTTTTATTCCCAAGCCAGGAGTGCACACCGAGAGCTGAGGGGCCCAGGTGGCGGCAGGTGCTGAGCCGCCAGGAGGTGAGCACCATCCCTGGCTGCTCTGCCGCCTGCCTGCGGGGGAGCTGAGAAATGCCGCTGGCAGCACGCCCTGCGGAGTCCCTGTGCTCTTCCTTCCTTACTCGGAGCCCCAGCGGTCTGGGGGGTTTGTCTAAGAGAGAAAGGCACCCTGGCTCCGGGTCTCAGGGAGACCTGAGGCACGTGCTAACACTCTTTCCTGTTCTGACAGTTTAGCTAAGAGATGAGGGAACGCAGGGTGGAGGGTATCCCCCGCCGCCCCGCCGCCCCGCTGTGGGCGCTGCCCCCCAAGGTGCGGGGCGGCAGCTGTGCCCACTGGGGAGCAGGTCCCAGGAAGGAGGGGGCAGGAGAGCAGAGAGGGGGCAGGAGGCAGGTGTGTCCTGGGGCCTGAGCCTGCGTCGGGGGGTGCTTTTTAAGTGTAATTTTGTTGTTGACGCTTCCGTGCCTTTCAGAGGGTTTAAAAAGAGCCGACAGGGACCCTCTCGGGGACAGGCCAATCGGCTCCTGCTCCTGCCCTTGGTGAGAGGCGCCGCTCCTCTGCCCGCCTCCCGTGAGGGCAGCGCTGGAGCCCATTCATTCAGAGCCGCTCGGCTGCCCCCTCCTCCCGCCCGCTGGCCGAGAGTTAATGAGAAACGCAGCTCAGCTCCCAGGCAGGAGCCTGACCAGTTCCTGTGACAGCAGCCTGGTGGGACGGTCTCTGGGGCAAAGTTGTGAATGAAGGAGCCAGCGTGTGAGTCCAGGGGCTGGGCCACCTCTGCCCTGGCCCCGACGGAGGACAGAGGACGGAGGACGGAGCCGTTGGGGACACCAGCCCTCGGTCAGGACCCCCCCTGCCCCTATCGGCGCCCGTCCACGTGAACAGCCCCCCCGTCCTGTATACAGCGGGTTTGGGGGGAACTCGGTCGGGGAGTAAGTGCAGGGCCCACCGGGTCCAGCTCTGGGAGCCTCTGCCTTCCCAGGCGGCAGCCCTGGGGGAGCCAGGGCTGGACAAACAAGAGTCTCTAGTTAATTTCCTCTCATTACCGAGAGCCACAGTCCGTTTTAGTAAATAAATTCAGGAAATTGGTAAAGCACTTTCCTCATCCGCAATATCAGCAATTAGCGGGATTGTCACTCAGGCTTTCCTGGCTCCCCTGCCAGGAGCTCTGTAGCCTGAGGGCAGGGCTGTTAGGGCTCAGCTGGAAGCTTAACCACAGGCAGCAATCTGAGCCGCCCGCTCCTCCCCTGCAGGGACCCTCTGAAGAGCTCACTCTTCAAAGAATCCTCCCCTCAGCCGCAACCTCACTGCCCCATCTCAGAAACCCCTTCTCACGGGCGACCCCCTCTCCCTGCCCCGCCCCCGCCCAGGCTGTTAAAGCGGAGCCCTGTGCCCACAGGCTGAGCGCGGCCCTACCTTCATCAGCCACTGCGTGTTGTTCTCCATGATGCCCTCCAGCACCTGCAGCCTCTGCACCGAGTCGTCGTAGTCGAGCGGCGAGTCCCGCTGCACCGAGTTGGGCACGTAGGAGCTGGCGGGCGGGCGGCAGTTGTCCGTCTCGGGCAGCAGGAAGGTGTAGCTGCAGGCGCCGTGCTGCACCTGGTACTGCCGCCGCCCCACGCCGTCCATGCTCCTGTGGAGGCTGTGGGCTGCGGCCGGGACCAGGTCCCAGCTCAGCGTGAGGAACACGAGCTGCCACATGGCTGCGTCTCCGCTGCCCCTCCGGCCGCTCGGCAGGCCGCCACGCATGGGACGTCCGCTGCTCAGACGCCGGGCTCAGTGCTCGCTCGGCTCAGGGTCCATCCGCGGAAGCCTGTTCTGTGCCCCGGGCAGCCGGCGGCCTGGCTGCCTCCCTCCGTCCCTCTGCCTGCGGGGCTGCCTCCCTCAGGCGTGGACCCTGCACTGGGGGCTGAGTTCCCAGGACCAGTGGCTCTGCTTTTCTCTCTGCCCAGAGCCACCGTGTCAGGACCGAGCCGCTGGCTCCCGCTCCTTATATGATGATGGGTCTGCAGCCAGGCATGTGAGAGCTGCTCCGCCCCCGCCTCTCCGTTATCTTCCTGTGGGGGGTCAGCAGCCAGGCAACAGGAAAAACCCCGCCGCTGGCTGCCTGCCTCCCTCCGCCAGTGCTGCCTGCGAGCCCACGGGGAACCCGCCCGCCCACCACCCGCCCACCGCGGCGGCTCAGGACCCAAGGGCCTGGCACCTCCCGCAGGGAGCTTCCTGAGCGCGCTCTGCCCTCCCTCCGCAGCGCCCAGGTATCTGAGGTGGCAGCCGGAACGCACAGGAGGGTTCCCTGCCCCTTGGGGAGAGACTCTGCAGCTGCCTCAAAGCTGGCAGGACTGGATGGAGCCTCGTGGAAACCTGCCTGCATCCTGATCCTCCGCTCAGCAAGGAGCTTTCATTTCCATTGGGCGGGAGGCCGCGCTTCCCTCCATCCTGGGGGAAGGTCCGGGTCTGAGCCGATGCCAGTCTCTTCCACAGACACCCATTCCAAAGGCAGAGCAGCAGGAGGCGGGCAGCGGAGAACAGACCTGTGCCTGCACACCCGCTTGCTCTCGCCCTTCGCGTGTGACATTCCCAGGGCCCGTTCCAGCCGCCCCTGTAATTAATGGCTAAGGCCCTCGCCCGTGGCCAGGGCTCGCCTGGCTGGGTTCCAAGGCCGGGCGTCCCTTTCCCCCCTTTCCAGAGGAGCTGAGCCCAGCCCTTGGGAGACCAGGCCCCGCTCACCCCAGCAGAGGGCACCAGGGAGGTGGCTGTTGCATCTCCGTGCCAGCGGGTGCCTCTCACTGGTGGGCACTGTGGTGCCCAGGGACACGCCCACCCAGAAAGCCAGGGCCCGGCCACCTCATGCAAGCCCGACTCTCCGGTGTGCCTTCCAGACCAGGGCCCTCAGGACCCCTCGCGGCCCCGCATGCACCTTCCTCTGGAAGGCAGTCAGGGCGGAGCCCGTCCCAAGTCCGTCTTGACCTGCGTGAGCGTCTGCTGCCCTCTCCACCTGGCGCATACCTGTGCAAACGGGGCCTCGGCAGACTCTCAGGCCCTGGTCCCCTCCCACCATCTCCACGCGCTGTGAGTGCTGGTTACCGTCTGTGCCCGCCATGCACACGAGGCGTGCGTCTGTCCTGTCACTTGTTATCCAGCCCCAGGGCGTCCCCCCTTGGCTTCCGCCGCCGCCTGCCTCCACTGGGTCCCGCAGGGCCTTTCTCGTCAGCCGGCATCACAGGGATTCTTCTTGGGCGCCAGGCTGCCGTGCCTGACAGGAGCACCGGCTCTTTCCGAGGGCTGTGCCTGCAGCCGACTCCCGAGGCCCCGTCTCTCACGGAGCAGGGCAGGGGAAGCCTGCGGGTTTCGGAGACTGATTAGAACCGGGTTCAGGGAGAGCGGAAGCCCGGCTTCAAGCCTCAGTTTCCCTACGTGTGGCCATGGTTCACGCGGAGCTGGGCCCGCGCCTCCACGTGGCAGAGGCCTGGCTGCACCCAGGGCAGGGGCATGACGCTGGCCTTGCTCTAGCCGCGAGCGTCCAGCGCAGCCTTCCCGGGCACCTGTCCCACTGTGGCGGTGCTTTCTCCGATCTCTGCCTCCTCGGTGCCTCCGATGGAGGTGGCCTCAGGGCCTGCTGTGCCTGCTAGAGGTTAGGCGGCTCCTGGCGTGACGTGCGACGCCTCGTGGAGCGCAGGTCCCCGTCTGGCTGCATGTGAGCACGTCTGGCCTCGGACGTGGCCACGTGCTTGGAGAACTCCAAGTGTCTGCTTGGCGGGGCCTGGCTCCCTGGGACCAACTGGTGGGGGAGGAAGCGTGGATTCTGCTGGAACAGGGAGCTGCCTGCCGAAGGGAGGAAGGTCTTGGCCAGGTGTGTTCTAGGCCTCTTCCTCTCTGGGACAGCCATTTCCCAGGGCTTCCAGGTGTTTCCATTTGCACAGGTAGGGCGAGCGGGCAGGTGAGCGGGCAGGTGAGCAGGCAGGGTGAGCGGGCAGGGTGCGCAGGTAGGTGAGCGGGTAATGAGTGGGTAGGTGAGTGGGTAAATGAGTAGGTGAGTTGGTAGGCGAGCGGGCGGGCAGGCGAGCAGGCAGGTGAGAGGGTAGGTGAGCGGGCAGGTGAGAGTGTAGGTAAGTGGGTAGGTGAGAGGGTAGGTGAGCAGGTAGGTGAGTAGATAGGTGAGCGGGCAGGTGAGAGAGTGGGTGAGTGGGTAGGTGAGCGGGTAGGTGAGTAGTTAGGTGAGCAGGCAGGTGAGAGGGTAGGTGAGTGGATGAGTGGGTAGGTGAGAGAGTAGGTGAGTGGGTAGGTGAGTAGGTAGGTGAGTGGGCAGGTGAGAGGGTAGGTGAATGGGCAGGTGAAAGGGTAGGTGAATGGGTGAGAGGATAGGTGAGCAGGTAGGTGAGCGGGCAGGTGAGTGGGCAGGTGAGAGGGTAGGTGAGTGGGTGAGTGGGTAGGTGAGAGGGTAGGTGAGCGGGTAAGGCAAGCAGAGTGGGGGCAGACCTGGAGCATGGGTCTTGTCCCCCCTGCAGTGGCTGGTCTGGAGGGAGGAATGGGAGTGATCCCCTGAGGGAACCTGGTGTCAGGTGACGCCCCCTCCCCCAGATAGCCATTCCTGAGGTCTGTCCATCTCAAAGGAAGCAATCCCACTCATCCTCCTATTTGTCTGAGGTCCTCTGTGCAGTTATGTCCAAAAGACACTGAGGGCAGTTTTGTATAAAGAAACGTAAGGTTCCTAGACTCCATTTGTTCTGCCCAAAACCAGCATAGCCTCTGCAGAGCCTTTGCAGCTGAGGCCACATTGTGTAGATGTGTGGCCATCAGCACTTGGGAAATAGCCAAGAACTGTTTTTTGTGGGGTTATTTTTTGTTTGTTTTAAGATTTCCTGATGAATTCCCTGAATTTTTTAGGAATATTTTGGTTTATATAATTGTCCTATTATTTAAAAAAAAAAGTTATCTCAAATGCTCTTTGATTTTTAAATATTTTCAGTCTCTAATATTTTTGTGAAATGTTTTATCATCTCATCAAAAGAATGCCTGGAAGGTTAAGATACAAATTGTAGCTTTAAAAAGCCGGTGGGTGAATTCTAAAACAACAGGTGAGTGCGTTCGCCTGATAATCTCTTGCCCGTAATTCTGTGTCCTGTTTTCTCCATGGAAAACATGCCAAGCATTTTCTTTTCATGGATTGATGTCAGTGATGACTGCTTTACACGTGACCAATGTAAAGTCAATAAAGTCTTTCCTTTGACTAATAATATTAGAGACATTGGAGTGAGCTTATGAGTTACAATTTTACAGTAAATGTTCTTACATTTATTTCAACAAAAAGAGAACTCAAATACTGCTGCTTGTGAAAAAAATGTGTCTAGTCTCTTGTCATAATCATTCTACTAAAAACTAATTTCTCTCAGGGTGAGTTTCTTAGGAAAGGGCTTAATACCATCTAAATTAATCTTTGTTTAATATAACTTTATAAAATTTTTATCTTAATTGAGAAGCCTTTCAAAATAAGAGAGAAAATGTCATGCATGCTGTTTACATTATGATATATTATCACTCTTGGTTACAGGTTAACATAAATAAAATCATTTATGTCCAAGAAGTAAAAAAATAAAAGCACAAGATCCCCTTTGGCCATTCCCATCAGTCTGACTCGATATTTAAAAAAAATAAATCTTCCTATGGGAAATTAGGCTTGATAATGGAGTTACATGTATAAGAAGTGTTTTTGAAGAATTAGTTTTTTGAGAATGATGTTGGAATAGTTGTGCATAAAAAGATGTGATGTTTGCACCAAGTGTATAAAAATACTCCGTCTCTTATTCCTTCACGAACCCACGCGTGGCTGTCCCGTGACCACGTCCTTCCTGATGGCCCAGGGCGGGCATCTCTCGTCTTCCTAAGCCCCATTGCTTGCGATTCTTTGGCACTCGCACCCTTAATAATGAACTGTTTCGCCCGGCTGCGTGGCTCAGCTGTTGAAAGTAATCCTGTGAGCCAGGAGGTCACGGTTGGATTCCTGGACATGGCACATGCCTGGGTTACAGGCTCGATCCTCAGTAGGGGGCATGCAGGAGGCAGCCAATCGATGATTCTCTCTCATCATGGTTGTTTCTCTCTCTCTCTCTCTCTCTTCCTTCCTCTCTGAAATAAGTAAAAATAAATTTTAATTATTTTTTTAAAATAAGGAATTGTTTGACCTCAAATATTTTATTTCAAGTAAAGAGACTCAATGCAAAGAAAGATGAAAGGAAGTTCATTTTACCAAGCCTGTCAGGAGAGGACATCGGTAACTAAATTAAATACCTCGTCTTGGCATCTGTTTTCAAAAGACCTGACGCTGGTAGGATAGTTACAGAAAAAAGGTTTGATTTTCTCAAAATCCTGACTCACTTTTTAGTGACCTTTTTTATTTATCGGCAGAAAGTGTTGCTTGACTTAAGTAAAAAACTAAAACAAAAATCTGCTAGCGATGTCACCTGTAGGACAAGCATGTCAAACTCGCGGGCCTGGGGATATTTTTGCAACCCAGTCAGTATAATAGAATGTAAGAAACGTGTCAATAAACTTTGTAACTAAACTTTTACAATATCCTGTTATATGTAATCTATAATTTTTTTTTTTTAAAAAGCATAATATGCTAATTAGACCAAACGTCCTTCCAGACAAAGCCAGAGCTGAAGGGAAGCCTGGGTGCCAGAGGGAAGCCAGTGCCAGCAGCC